AACTGACCTCCCTCTTCCCCTTCCCCCACCTCTACCTCCTGGAAATGAAAGCATAACAAGGCTTTTTTTTCTTTTTTTTTTTTCTAATTTTGCCATTTTTTTTTGTTTGTTTTCTTTCACTTCCCATTGCTCAGCAAAGTGAGGAAACTTTTTCTGCATAAAGAATTAAATTAGTTAATTCTGTGGCTGGGCTGATAGCTGGGAAGATTGCTGTTAGCAAGACATAAGAAACAGCTCTGAAGTGAGTGAGGGAGGCCTGGAGTATGTTATTTATAACATTAAAGTGGATTACAGCAGCTTGCATGGGCTACTCCGGCCTCTCTTCTGTCAAACTCTGCCCACAGATTGCTACTTCTGACTCCAACAGCTCCCATTCCCTGTGGCTGCTCCCATCTCAGTTACAATGCCTGCTGTCCTCACCCAGGCCTGTCTTCCAGAGGTTCAGCAGCTGATGCTCCACGTTCTGTTCATGGTGCCCAACCCTGTCCCGTGCACAGGGCCCATCTGAGGATGTAACTCCACTTAAATCCCCAGAAAAGTCCTGAAAACAAAGTAGCTTATAAATGCTGGCATTGGTTACAGACTCCTGGAAGAGGTCAGATGGACAGTCATAGAGATGGTGAAACCATTGTGGGTCAGTAGCCAGAAAACTACTTTTCACTTGAAAAAAAAAAAGAAAGAGAGTCTGTATTTCTCATTTTCCATGTTTGGCTTTTGGCTGTGGGCCACTGGAGTTGATTTTTCCAGCTTTCCCCACTCTTTTGATGCCTAGGAATTTACTTTTCCTATAAGGGACAAACATCAGGGGACTGGAAGGAGCCTCGTGGGCCAGTGAAGTCTGTCTCTGGCCAGGCATAATGGAATGTGGCATCTTCCTCTGATCATGCACTTCTCCAGAGTCCTCTGAACAGTGACTCACTCCTTTGTGGAGAAGGGAAGATACCAGTGCCTATTACTGGGAAGCTGAACTAGCACCTCTTCTTTTTTTTTGAAAATAAAACATAAAATTCCACTTCAATCCCTTGGGCTTCAGGAACAAGAGCTTTACAAGGAACAAACCACTCAGACTAAGGAGTCAGAAGGGCTGTCAGTGTTCTGCTTAGCTGTAGCTCCATCCCTTTCTAGCAACTCAGGGCAAGCAGAAGTGAAGAAAACTGTTTGCTGCTGTATGAAACTTGTGCATATTTTTTTAATCTAATTGCTGTGGGGAAAACAAACATCAGATTTATTTCGCACCATTTCTTGGCTCAGAAACATCAGGCACATTCGCCAAATTGTGGTTTTCCAGTCATTGGCTTGAGTCTCATTTACCATGAGGCCTCTTTACACCACTCTTGGTTTGTAAAGGGATATTAAGTGGCTAAAAATGTCCTCTACCGCATCATTGTAAAGAATTCTCAGTGTAAATGAGAATCTAAACTCTGTATGTTTTTCATGTAAATGTTGGTTGTGGTCACAGCTGACTTGAAGTTCGGAGTGTCAAGCATTGTGTGGGGTGATTTTGCTCAAAACCAGCCTTGTTTGGGGTAAAAGAGGCCTCTTCTTGTTTAAAATGTTCTTAATTATGTCTGAGGAATAACTCATGGCTATGGAACCTTTTACTAAATTGAAATAAATTGTGAAAACATCAAATTATTCAGTTTTCAGAAGTTCTGGCAATTATTTCACATGTCCCTCTTCCAATGGCTTTGCCCTTATTAGTTGTCATAGAAGAAGTAATAAATTCTTTTATTATGACATCCAAAGTCCCAGCTGAAATTAGTTTCATTGTGCTGGGGACAAAACGGAAAAGTGACACTCCCTTAGCCGGAGGATCCTTAGTCTAAAGCCAAAAGTAAAGTGAAGGATTGGGAAAGTAGGTACAGCATTCAGGCAAAAGAGGGTCATACAGAATGGGTACAACTTGCAAGGGAGTTGGGTTTCTTATCCCAGCACAAGGCAGTGTGGTTTTCTTATCCCTTTTCTTACTCTTTTTTTTTTCCTTTCTCTTAAGAATAAAACAACTCTTGCTGCTGAAAGGATTGTGTTCAATCCATCTTTTCATCAGGAGTTGGATGTCTGCAATAGTAAAAGTTTGAGAAAAGAATACTGTACGTGGCATATGGATTCAGTAATGACCTTTGCCCTAAACTAGAAAATGCAAGGAACTGGAATAGTAGAGTGTTTTAGTTCAGCAGCTTTCATACTGGCATGTTCAGTGGTGTCCCTATTGTCACTGGTTTTTTTTTTCTTTTTTTGCCCTCCTTTGGCTCCCTGTAAATCTTGAATTGATGGCAGCTGTTTGAGCCAAACTCAAGACACGTTGCATCACATCAGGGTTTAAAGGCTCAAAGGCAAGGGAGGATTGCTACTATTCTGTAGTATTCCTCCAGCAGCTCCATCTGTTCCAAGGTCAATCACCAGCATCATGCAGCACTTCAGAGAGAGGAAGATGTTCTTTAATGCTGGCTGGGAAACTGAATTTCCAGTCCATAATAATTTATTGGTTCTTTGGGGGAACATTTCTAGGCCCCGGTCAGTGCAAAGAGCAAAGAATGTTGACCCTAAAAGGCTATGTGGTGGACTTCCCTGGAGCTGGAGATCTGTTCCAGGACTTCCAGATGTCTGTCCAGCCATGGGGATCTTGGATGCCTGAAGAAACAGGTGGAGCAGCTTCTGTGTGTGCAGCTGCCCTGTGGTCCACAGACCTGGAGGATTTGGATTCTGGGTGGCAAAGGTGGCAGGAGATGGTTGGGACAAGTTGACCTTCTGTGCTTCAGTCAAAACAGCCAAGGGAGTCCCTGAGGCTCCCCTGGCCATGCTGAAGACAAGCAGGTTCTCAACCCCAATTTCTGCATCAGTTTTGCTGCTCTCACCATTTTGGCACGTCTTGTCAGGCAAAAAACTCTCTTACAAAACGCCTGACCAGCTCTAATGGTCTTATTGTAATAAGCTGAGATTTTTATGACTTATTTGGGAGAGGGACTTGTCTTGCCAGCTGTCTTCTTATTCATTGCAGTATTATCCACCCACTATCGTTGGACAATACCTTCATTTGAGATTCATAAAAATACAGATTTTTATGGGCTCTCATACATCTGAAAATGAATGCTTTGTGAAAGTATTTATTCCATAAAGAAAAATTTGAAAACACTTAAAAAATAGAGTCCAGAAGGTTATTGGTAGCTTTGGCTCTCATAATATCACGAGTTTCTTGGTTAAATATCCATCCCAGCAAATGTCATTTTTTTTAGCACATTTGTTTTTTTCCTTCCCTGGTTCTCCTCCTCTCCTTTCTCGTGATCTGAAGTAGAAGTACAAACCAGAAGCTGGTCTTGAAAAGGTTTTGAACTGAGTGCGCCCTACAGATGAATAAACACATTACCTTCCGAACCCTGGGATCTCTCTTCCAAAGGAAACAGGAAAAGGGGGAGCTCAGAGTCCCTAGCAAAATACCAGCGTGCAGAAAAAAAGGGCCGCTTAAATGTTTTTAACTTTCCCATCAGAAGAGTTTTTTTTACAGGGGAGGGAGGAGGAGGAGGAGGAGGAGGAGAGGGGAAGGGTGTGAGGAGAAGGGGGGAAGGTGGGTGCTGGGAGAGGGGAGGAAAAATACAGTGAATGCTCCTGTAACCTTTGCTCTGTTGATACTAGACAAGACTGCACTGCTAATGAGTGATTGTTAACAGATGGCCGTTGAGCAACTTAGTCAGAAGCAGAAGATGTTATTTGGTTGTAGTGTGGGGAGGGTTAGGGTGCAGGGGTGAGGTAAGGGGATATTTAGTCTTTTCACGAGGACTGAACTGTCAGAGATTTATGATTTTCCTTTAGGCTTTTGGAAGGGGAGGCTTGGGGGAAGGATTGTTTTCTGTGTGCTGATAGCAGAGAGGCCGTTTGGTGCTGAAAGCTCCAACGATGAAGTTATCGGTTGAGGGGTGTCCCTGCAGCCCTTGGCCGTGGAGAACTGAAAGATGGGAATGTAACTTGCTGAGCCTCATGTCCCAAACCGAGAAGGAGAGCGCTCTTCCCACTGCTTGGAGCTGTCTGAAGACTGGTTGAGAGCGCTTTGAGTGTGGATCCACAATTTGTCTATAGAATCATAGAATGTTTTGGGTTGGAAGGGACCTTAAAGACCATCTTGTTCCAACCCTTCTGCCATAGGCAGAGACACCTTCCAGTAGATTGGGTCTCTCAGAGCTCCATCCAGTCTGGCCTTGAACGCTTCCAGGAATGGGGCAACCACAACTACTCTGAGCCTACGGGAAAAATCATTAGAGTATATTCCATGTGGTGCATTGAGTTGATAGGAAGCTGTGCATGTGAGGGAGCAGGAATCTTTCTGAATGTGTATGTCCATCTGTGCATGTTTTTTCCCCTTTTCCAGTGTGGTGTATACCCTCTTCTGCACATCCAACCTACCAGTGTATGCCATTTCCTTACTGGTTTTGTTGGGTAGGGCTTTGAAGGTAACCTGAACACATCCCATTCACTCTCTGTAGGATTTGTCTGCTTGAACCCATCAAGATTACTGCAGCTGCTCAGCGTTTCTCAAAGTGTGCAGTATTTGGATTTTATACTTATTTCTCCTCTGGACCTTGTTAGATACAGGGTTATGGGTATGAATTATGAGTGACATCAGCAGGGATTGCTTGTCAAGGGATTGCTTGTTGTTGTTTTCAGCCACTGATGTATGGCTTTGAGGGAAGGTAAGAACCAAATGCACAGTCCAACATTTTCCTGAGAGGAATTTGCAGAGGAGGTTTGGGCTTTGGTCAGGAAAGGGGAATCCCATTTCTACGCTTTGCTGGCAAATCTTGACCTTTAATAGAAAGTCTTAACATGACCTCCCACAATCGTGCACCAGATGATTTAAAGTCTTTCTAGTGCACCAACTGTCTAACAGATGTAGGTGAGTGTGTGTATACACATTTAGAGAGATATATTTATACAATTTAAAGACTAAACGCCTTCACTCTGTCATCCTTATTTATTCATCTTTCTTTTCTTTTCGGGGGGGCGCGCAGGACTGTATGACAAATGTTCTTACACCTCCCGCGACCGAGGATGGGTCCTGGGGATTAACACCGTCAGTGACCAGGGGAACAGAGACCCCCGCTATTTCTTCTCCCTGAAGACGGACCGTGCCCGCAAAGTGACCACCATCGTGGCACACCGCAGCTACCTCCCCAACCAGTGGGTGCACCTGGCTGCCACCTACGACGGGCACCTGATGAGGCTCTACGTGAACGGCGCCCAGGTGGCCACGAGCGGAGAGCAGGTGGGCAGCATCTTCAGCCCCCTGACCGTGAAGTGCAAGGTGCTCATGCTCGGGGGGAACGCCCTGAACCAGAACTATCGGGGATACGTGGAGCACTTCAGCCTCTGGAGGACAGCCCGGTCTCAAAAGGAGATCTTGTTGGACATGGACCAGGCGGTTCACAGGCAAGACACGCCCCTACCTCAGCTAGTCCTTCAAGACAGTTTACTGAATGTGAAAAGCACCTGGTCTCCCATGAAGGATGGCAGCAGTCCCAAGCTCAAGTTCAGCTACCACCACGGCTACTTGCTGGACACCAGCCTGGACCCTCCTCTCTGCGGGCAGACGGTCTGCGACAACACCGACGTCATCGCCAGCTACAACAAGCTGCCGCGGTTCCGCCGCGACAAAATCGTGCGGTACCGCGTGGTGAACCTCTACGACGACAAACACCAGAACCCCACCGTCAGCCAGCAGCAGATCGACTTCCAGCACCAGCACCTGAACGAGGCGTTCAGCCGCTACAACATCACCTGGGAGCTGGAGGTGCTGGAGGTGATGAACTCTTCGCTTCGCCACCGCCTCATCCTGGCCAACTGCGACATCAGCAAGATCGGGGATGAGAACTGTGACCCTGAGTGCAACCACACCTTGACTGGCTACGACGGAGGGGACTGCAGGCACGTGCGGCACACGCTCTTCAACAAGAAGAAGCAGAACGGGGTGTGTGACATGGATTGTAATTACGAGAGGTACAACTTCGATGGGGGGGAGTGCTGTAACCCGGAGATAACAGAAGTCACCAAGACCTGCTTTGACCCATATTCTCCTTACAGGTAGGCAGTTTCTTAAACAAGCTTTTTTTATGGTCATATTGATGAACGTCTGTCTCGGTATTGATCAGCCTGCTGGCTTGTTGAACCCTTGTGTTGTTGCTGTTATGGGTTTTTGGAGTTTGTAATGATTTTATTTTTTTTTTTGTAGCGTTTGGTTCACATTACAGTTATCCAAATGCAATCTCAGTAATGGTCTGAGCAGCGTCTAAAGAAATTCTGTGCTAAAGACTGTGAAATCAGCTCAGTTGGTTAAAACTTGGTGCTAATAATGCCAAGGTCGTGTGTTCAATTCCCTGTATGGGCTGTTCACTTAAGGGCTGGACTCAGTGATCCTTGTGGGTCCCTTCCAAGTCAGAATATTCCATGAATCTGTGACTGAAGCAGCCAGCTTTGGGAGGCCCGTTGGTTTTTGGCTATGAGCAGTATATTGTAGCACTGTGAAGTTTATTTTAACCACAGACTCTTAGGAGTGGGGATTGGATGTCATAGAAAGCTCATGTGTATTTGGAGAGGGAAGAGCCCCTCAGGCATGGAACAGAACATGAATACTCTTAGGTAGACTTAAATTCTGTAGGACTTTGAAGGTAGGTGGGTAATTCTATCTCTTCATGCTCTGTGTACAGCTTTCTGTAAGCACTGCTTGCAGGGGCAACTGAGTCTGTAGGTTCTGAGGAGGGAGGTGCATCCAGGTTCCTGGCAGTGCTCTTGCACATACTGGGTGGGCACTGGAACTCTTCTGTGCCCCTTTTTACTTATATATGAAAACAGGGGTGATGCACCTTCATTGCAAGTGCCAGGACAACTTTCTGTGGGTGGATGTGAGTTGATAAAATCCTGAGCTCCTCAGCCATGGCCTCCTTATATTTTAGTTTGAAGAGTGGCATCCTTGAATAACTTGTGTCAGTTGAGTTCCACGTGCCTACAATTACTCCAGATTTTGGTCGTCTTCAGATAAATTTATGTGTTTAAGTAATAAAATGTTACCTTTGAAGGAGTTAAAAACATAAACACAGAAAAGGTGGAGGTTAAAGCTGAAATTCTGTTGTCTGTATTCCATATCATAGTTTTTTTAGGGCAGTTCATGAAGTAATAAAGGGGGAACCTCTAAATGGTCAGAACACACAATGTTATCAACACTAAAGTTCAGGTTAATAAGGAAAGTATGAGCTGTTCTGGAGTCCCTTCCATTACAGCATTTCAGACTATATTTATAGCTTCCTTAGTAAAGAGAAGTTTTTAAACAACATTATCAGCTCTACTGGAGCTTTAAATACACATAATTAAGCTGCAAAGAAAAGCTTCCTTTCTGTGTTTTTTTTTAGCTACAGTGAAGTTGTTTTTTAAAAAATCCTTCTAACTCAGCTTGACTTCAGTCAGTTACCAATGAATAAAGCTCAGATGAGGAGATACTTTAAATATTAATGCTTGAAAACATTGAAAGGAAAAATACAAATCTTTTAATACTGTTCAACTGGAGAGGAACACAACCAAGCAAATATCATCAAAGGCATAATGCAAATTGGATTGTTTTAACACCGTAGTTCTGAGAACTCGAGGTGTTAGTTATAACAACTAGCACAATTTTTAGGAAAATACATTATTTTTAATTTGATAGTACCCTTTTATCACTTGTCCTGTGACCAGCATAATACCCATATAAAATGAAACAAGAAAAGCCTTGTAAATTATAGTTAACAGATCTAAAACTGTGTCTCAATGTTATTCTGATGTACAGAGAGGTTTCTATTTCAAATGAAGCCTTTTTGCTGAACAGGCTGTGCTTGCACAAGCCTGAGCAAGAAAATGAATTCCAAAATCTGAAGTTACCTTAACACCACCTAGTTGCCTTTTATACAGTTTTAGGTTCCTTTTGGAGACAATCACCTTGCTGAGCTTGTCTGGAGGGTTTGCATCTCAGGGCCTTGAGCTCGTAGATCTTCTACATGTTCATTTTGACTTGAGAGAAAACTCTTCTTGCCTTGAAATAGTGAGGGAGGCCTGAAGGTCCTATTCCACAGGGTAGAGCCTGAGAAGATCCATAGATGCTCCAAAGATCTTATTGCAACAGTCAGATTTCATTGATTTTCCTTTGCACAGACACTGTAATGCAGCTTTGATCACTGGCAATGGCACCATGGAGGGCAGTGGAAGATATTTCATCTCTTTGAGCCTTTTTTTGGTGACCAATGTGCTTGGGCTGAGCTCAAACCCACCTCTGTGATGGCTGTTTGCTCTCAGGATGGCAAAATAGAGCACTTGGGTCTGTGGACCTACCAATCAGGTCCATAAGGCTGGGTGACACTGCTTCGGGTATTTAAGTCAACAAATAGTGGTTTAGGGCAGTGACTTTGGCAGCAAAGTCTTCATTGACTACAAGGGTGAAGATTCAAACCCTATGTTTGGCTTTGGGATTGCCATCAGCATCACCCCCTGAGAGAGAGATTTCCTTGTCAATTAGTGACTAAGTCAAAACCCAGTCAGCACCATCTGGGTCCATTTTGTATCACCAGCCCCCCTTGTCATCGCTGTCATTGGCACAGAGTCCTCAGTCCCCTCTGGTGCAGGCCTTGCACCACAGCACTGAAGACATCTCCACAGCCACAGAGAACTCACATCTAATTCCAGGTATTTCCTCTGCCAAAGTTCAGTCTAACAATAGCAGAAAAAGGGGAAAAGATCCTTCATTCTGGTGAGGAAAGGCAGGAAAGAAAGATTAAATGGTACCAATAAAGAGTTTCCTGAACTTTGTGCTGTAAAGTGCTCTTCAGAGTCGTCTCTGGTACTGGGGGAGCCTTCAGGCACTGCTGGGTTTGTTCCTTCCACACCCTCAGTGTCAGCAGTTGTAGCCAGCTGTTCATCAGGCACAGTTTATTCCCAAAGTGCTTTTGCCCTTTGGAACCAACCAAAAAGTGCTAATGCTTGATTGATGCTGTTATAAACAGGAACCCTCCTCAGTGCCTCTTCATCCCCAAAAGATGATGTATCTGTTTCCAGCCATTTTCCTTCTTCTGACTGTCTCAGTTCCAAGCTCCATCCTGGGGCAAAGTTGCCATTAGCCTTGATACGGCCTGTGCATGCTTTCTGACTAAGAGATACCACTGGAACAATTCCAAGACACCTCTGATCTGTGTTACAAGTTTCTTGTGATCCTTTTGGCACCTTGGACAAAGAGAGCTCAGGTACTTTGATAGTGCTTCAGTCACTGCTGTGGTACAACTGTGGTGACTTTAAAGCTGACCCCAGCAGCAGAGCTGGTTGGGTTTTTTGTGTTTCCAGCCTCTCTTTGTGGCACCTCTCCAAAAATATTTGCCTCCAAAAAGCTGATGTTCTGTGCCATAGCCAGACAGTGGGGATGTTGGTGCATAGAGGTTTAAGTACATTTAAGTTTTCCAGAGGGACAACACTGAGACTGGGAGCTCTGCTCCCGGAGCTGCTCAGCAGAAAAGCCATAAACATTGTGGTACCAACTAGATCATCTCTCCTCTGTTTTAATAGCCTGCAGGGAAAAAACAAAGGACTGGTTATCATTAGCCACACAGCAGGCTTTATCCAAGAATATCTGCCTTGCTTCTTTTTATTAATTTCATGAGGGAGGGACAAAATGTATTTTGTCCCAGCAGAAGATTTACAAATACTGTTCCACTTTTCTGCAATTCTGGGAAATTAAAACATGCTAAGATCATACAGTCTGGCCCAATACAAAGGGAAGGAACAAGGATAGACGCACTTGCCAAAAAGACACATTCCTTGTGTTATTTGGTATATTGCTGGTTACAAAAGAGGGAAGGCTTTGAGCTCATGACACCTACCAGGGCTGCTTTCCAAAAAACTTGAAACGAACAGCAAGGGATCATAGGAAATCATACTCAGTAAATGCCACTTGATGTGGTGAGTTCTTGCACCATCCTATGGTTAACTGAGCCATTCCTTTTATGTAATATTGGGTTTGCACATCAGGCTTCACCACAGGATTGCACGGACAGATAAGGGAGCATTCCCCTTGGTGCCTGCTTAGGAGAATACTGATGAAATTCCTGAAGCAGTAAAAACTCCTACAGTCTCTTCAAGCTCCCTGGATTCATACAGCCTACTGAATACTTGCTGGAAATCCCCTCAGAATAACTGACCCGGGCACAGTCTTTCTCAGCATCCACATGTGTGCCCTGAGGGCTCCCACAGCCCTTCAGCTCTGCCTAAATCAGGGGCAGGGATGAGCTGTACAAGTTCTGGTCTGTCTGAAGGACCTGCCTGCAAACTCAGGTTGACACCAAACCAAGGAATCATAAAATGGTTTGGATAGAAAGGGACCTAAAAGATCATCTAATTCCAGTCCTCCAAGAGGTGAAGTCCAGTGTCTCACTGACCTCACCCTCTTCTGTGGCCTTTTCCAACACTTGTTTTGGGCAGTTCAGCAAAGCTCAGGTTGCATCACATCAGCTTGCACATTCCAGACATATGTAAATTAGGCTCTGAATAGACATTTGAACAATTTGTAGGAATTTCCATAGTGGTTTTGAGCAGGAAGGGGTGTGTCAGAGCCGTGCATGAAGAACACACTGTGCTGTGGCATGTGGGCTCCAGCAGTAGCATTAGAAGGAGGAGGTGGTGGCTAATCCACAGCTCAGGGCAGCCTTGAGCAGGTAACTGAGCTGTGGCTGCTCTCCAGGGCTCTTCTATGGACTATTAGATCAGCCTCTTACCTCTTTTTCCTTCTCTTCTGCTGGAAATCTCTTCATGAGGCTCACTTGAAAAATATGGTCAACTTGCCCTGGAGGAGGGGGGCACACTGAATGCCCTTTTCCAGGAGCTAGAGTTGTAAGAAATACTCCTTGCTTCTTAATAAAGGGCTAATTTCCACTTAATCCTAAACACTAAAAAGAACAGAAGAAATTCATCAAAGCTCTTCAGTTCCGGGAGCTTGAGAACTTAATCCCCTGCCTCGAAGAGACCATTGTGCAGCTCTTGACATCAAGGATTGCTGCATTCACACAGGTATCAGA